GATATGTAATGTTTAAACACATTCCTCAGTGTGCAATGCACTACGCCTTTATAAGCTGTGACTTACACAATATGAGGCAACACATCCTTTTTATGTATTTTGTAGGTTTGAGAATATAATTTTTAGCTAAGTCGAGTTGTATAATGTTAATAAAATGTTGTTTGTGTGGCCTAATGATGATCGAGTTTGTTAATTTATTAAACTGAGACTCTACAGTCTGAGACTAAGCTTTAATTGAGTATGACGCTGCCATTATCATAGGTTACAAACACTCAAGTTTTTTTTTCCTCTCCTCCTAATTGCTTCTTCTATTTCAGGAGCATTTTTGGCCTTACAGAATAAATTTCAATGTTATATGACAGGGAAAATTTGAAATAAAGTGTGATGTAAGTATAACATATTAATTAATACACAACGCAATATTCAAGATTTGATCATGTTATTACTTGTAGCCAGTACCGGATGCATGCGGTCGGCCCTCCCTGAATTGGTTCTCCGTGGGGTTTTTTAAAAGATTGTGTTCATAAAATATTTTAGATGGTGTAACGATTGCATAAAGCTTTTAGAGATTACAGGGAATAGAGACGCCTTTTTTTCAAATATTGAACGGGATTTACAAAGACTAGTAATATCAAACTATACTAGATAGGTAGTTTCATATAAAATTTTAATGATTTGATATAGCTTTTTTAACTACACTTAGAAACTAGCATACACATTACACCCAGACCCGAAACAACAAGTTGAAAAGTAGAACACAACAAGTTGAAGTTATAAGTTAAAATTTGTATGCTTTATTTATTAAGTAAAACATGATCTATTATAATGTAACTATAACACCTTTATATATCTAGTTTTATGCAAATAAATGCCTTTATCTTATCTTTATCTAACAATTGATGACAGGGTATGAAAATTAAAAATGTAATTAGTCCATCAGCTAAATTATGAAAAAATATTAGACACGTTTTTTTTTATTTTGTCGTATACATAATAAAAGTCGAAAGTATTCGTTTCTGTAAGAAATTAAAAAATACGTATCTAATGATTTAAAATAATCTACCAGACGGATATTAAAATAAAAATTAGGCATCTACCTACCCTATTTGAGGATCACACAACACATTTCCACATTTACAATAGTTGAATTAAATAATAGCGTCCGTAATTGCACGGTTGGTGCGGTAGCTAGGCAAATAGATACCGTGCAACATGTAGCGGGTTCGAGTTCTGCACGGAGCAACTCTATGTGATCCACAAATTGTTGTTTCGGGTCTGGTCGTCATATATGCGTTTGAAGTTGTATGTTTCTAAACGCACCCACAACACAGGTAAAAGCCTAGTGTAAAGCAACGTTTTTTGTGTGATTTTGAAATGTATTTTTTTTATGCTAATAGACAGAGTAGAGATACATTTTCGTAGAAATTACTTATTTTAGTTTCACATTTTGTAAAATCATCATACCATACATAGGTGTGTTTATATTAATAATTACCTATTAATATTTATTTTTATATCATCATCATAAGCCTACATGTTTTTAAATATGCAGCAGATAGCGCTACTGATTTGGTTTTCCTCAACGCAGTATATTCCCATTGCCAATACGCAAGCGATTAAGTTTTACAATTAAATCTGCTCTCGGTCCGCTCTTGCGAATGTTGTACACAGCGACGGACGCACACTAGGATGTCTGGTTAGATAACGATATGAATGTGGGACGTTGTGCAACAGCGGTAAAACACCCTGTGTCCGGTGAACCTGAACCAACATGAAATAAACAGCGCATAAATTCTATAATATTTTCTTTGAGTACAAAGTTTGTTGCTTAAGGACTCACAATGTCTGGATAGCCGCTATGCACTAGATACATTTGAATAAAAAATGTAATTTATATAAACCATTTGGCAACCAACAGGCGCTAAGTTAAAATTTCGCGAACCACAAAACTTGCCATAACATAGGACTTAAAAATGGTAATAACACATCTGGAATAACTGGTTAATATAATGTTTGTCTCTACCTACCTATTAGTACCTACTCATTAGTTTTTTTTATGGCATAAGCCGGTAGATGATCAGACGGATCACCTGATGGTGCAATCGGCGTCGCCCATGGACACCTGGAACACCAGAGGCGTTACAAGTGCGTTACCGGCCTTTTGGGGATTAGAAGTTTGAGGATCTTTAGGGATTCAGAAATTGGGGAGATTGGGGAAGGGGAGGGTAATTGGGCCAAATAAAGAAGTTAGATAAAGTTTTGTTTTCGATATATATTCTACATCTGAAATAAAGGTCTACTTTAAAAAAATAACCAAACAGTTTAAAAGTTTCAACCACCTATATCAAAGAGCAAACGCTAAGAGATTTCTGTCTCTGTAGTCTTAATTTGGCATTGTATATATCTTGGCACTAACAGGATTACATAATATTTATGTATGTTGACAACTAATATACAATGTATGTATATGAATATGAATATTCTGCAACTGATATTAACAAAATAGGTCTAATGTTAACAAAAACTCTGTTGTTATAAATGTCAAATTATGAATTTTTTAAACTTAGACGCAGGGTCACACACACGTTGTGACATTTTATTTTTGATATTACTTCAGTGCAAATAATAGGGATTGTGAGATTGTACCAACCAATTTACTATCTAATAGAACCTATGTAAAAAATGTAACTAGGAAAATAATATTGGACATAAATAATTAATGTATCATGAGTATATTTTTGGATTTAGAATATTGAGAATGAGTTATATCAGATCTGAGAGAGACCAACAACCCGTGAATGTCCCCTGTGCTGGAAATGAGTCCCCTTTTCAAAAGATAACCTCGATACGCAAGCAGTTTTGAGGTTGCTACCCCGTCTCTGGCCAATGTCGTGGTGGCCTAGAGGTGACCAACGGCAAGTACCAATGTGATTTTTTCTAAGTTACATGTACTTTCTAAGATTATTATTTAGACACCACTAACAAACGGTGAAGGAAAACATCGTGAAGATACCTGGACTTATAATTTACTTAATACTAATTGACTTTTAAATTACTAATTGTTAGTTTGAGATCGCCAACCTGCATTGAGCAAGCGTGGTAATTAATGATCAACCTTCTCCATGTGAGAAGAGGCCTTGCTCTTCTCAGCAGTGGGTATTTACAGGCTGTTGATGATGATGACCCCGTCTCTGTTAAATATGTAGCTCCTTAATCAACTTTTACGATACCCGGTAAGAATACAAATGAAAAAATGTATAGTGAAAAATGTATTCTGCTAAATCGTCGTCATTTAACTAGAAAAAAGAAATTATAATATCTCCATTATTTATCGCAGCTATAGATTATATTCACAACAGAAATATTAGAACTGTAATGTCAAAAATTTAATTAATTTTCTTTTTTATTCCTAATATTATTACAAATAACATGTGGAGCAGTGGAGCGACAGGTTAATCCCATGTTAATTGGTAATGTTAATAGGAAGTGACAGTATTACGTACTATGTATTTATACGTCACGGAACAGCAATAACTAATCTTCCACTTGCTATACAAAATGTTAATAAACATATAATTTAGCCTTGTTGTCCGAGTGGTCGCAAGAGTGACTGTCGGGCAAGCGGTCTCGGTTACGATTCCCGAGTCGGGCAAAGTATTACTAGGATTTTTTAAATTCTCAGTAGTAGTACGAAGTCTGGAATTGTGCCCGAAGTAAAGCAATAGGCTCACCCTCTATTACATAAGACTCATAACGTAAATAGTGAAAAGTGTATGTTACATTTTACGGTGGTATTAAGTGTCATAATGTGCACCTCTGCATAGGTACCCCTTTAGGAACAAAAGCCGTGATGTTATGTAATGTATGTGTATAATTTAGTTATCACAGTGATTACGAAGGGACTACACGGTGTAATGTTGTACTTACAAACTTTTTTTTAATTTATTATCTAACACTTACATGCATTTGAATATAAAATGTTGAAACGAGCAAAGTATACACATGTAATAATATCAACAGCATCCCTTCACTGCATGTTGCAAGTAGTTGACCGACAATTGCCAATCACTTGCAATGACTAGATCACACTCGTACTTGTGTGAAAAGCAATAAATAGTATTGGGGTCATCGAGAGCACCTGACAGCTTCCTGGATAGTTTTTTGGCTAGCGCACGCAATATTGTGTTTAGACTATTAATCATTGGTCCTCTTCTCATCATCGGCCTAGTTGTAGCAACTGAGTTTAACGTTCGGAAATCAATTCTGGTTTTCAGCAAAGATTCACTCACGGATTTAGTTCATTAATTACTTATTGTATGAAATAGTTAATTTTTACATATAAATGTTCAACGATTGCAAACAATCCACCATAAGTTTGAGTGTCACGCGTTGAAGTCTTTTCTTCGAAACTTAGAAAGTTATAATTATGATTTAAAACTTAAATTAAAAAAACGGTTTCAATGTATTTATTTAAACTACATACCTACATAGTCATACTGATAACAAAGTCAATAAATAAAACTTCGCGTGAAATGCGAGTTCAACTTGATCGAACTTAATCGAAAATCGGTCTTATTGACTACTACATAATACTTTATTTTGGATAAGAGGATGTTTGCAGTGGTTTTTGTTTTTATATTTACTTATATTATGATAAGAACACTAAGTATTCCAAATACAGCTCACAGAGAAAGAGTCACAGTATTTCAGTACATCAAACAAGAACCTCGTGCTCAGTAGATGCATTAGAACCTACCTATTCTTAATATAACAAAATTAAGTATTAGAATGTACATATAAAAAATTAACATTTCCTCAATTTAGATTTAGCATTAAGTTTAAGTTAATGAATGTAACTAGGTGGATCCTTAAAAGAGCGGTATCTGGCCGCTCCGAATGTAGTATTGATAACATAAGATATTATGCGATAATTCACAATCGCTAGAGGGGATTGCAAGTTTAAATAAAAAGAAAACACGGCGCCGTGGCCAGTGAGAGTAAGACGTCTTGGCGAACGCGCGCGAAAGTTGCATTTGAACCCGCGCCATTACAAACGTCATCCCGACTTATATATTTAATTTTAAAACAGGATAACGCAAAGGTGGATTAGTAAAATATTTGTGGAATTTTATTATTTTTTTAATCCAGTGAATTTAGTTCTCATAGTGGGGTGACAGTGCATGTGTTAGTGACTTTCGCCGCCTGTTTGTCTGGGATACGATGATGTTCACACGTAATATAAAGGTAAATCAATAAAAGTAATTACTACAAAAAAACATACTTTGTTAAATTAATATTGTACATACGAAAATTGACTCTGCGGTCAATGTATTGGTTTAAAAAAGGAAGTATAATTTTGTAAGCGGTAAACACACACTATTACCGTTTGCTACATTAAGTTTGGTAATACATATGTAAATAATTTCAAAGTAAAAATTATTTGTAATATTACTACAAATTTAAATAATATTTAACTTAAACCCTTATATTATATAACCTTCTCCGTGTGAAAAGAGACTTTTGGTCAGCCATTTATAGGCTGTTGATATGATCAGACATGATATTTCTAGCAGAAAGTTATTTAATCTTCTTGTTTTTACTATAAGTTGACACTCGTAATATATGATAGCGATAGTATTACGTTAAAAAGGCTTTTCAATCAAAGACAAGTTTCACCTTCTCGTACAATGGCAACAAACAAAAAAGTGTGAATGTCTTATTGTTGTACTTCATAGAAAAGTATTATGGTGGAATTGATGGAAGATAAATACTTTCAATGAGTGGGCGTATTATGTGCATAAAAATGTCATATGTATTTTAAACATCTGTTCCGGTGGCGCTTTGATTGGGCGGCAGGGATTGAGTACTTGGGATTTGTAAGTGATGGAACTTTAATCTTTTGTTACATAGTGTGAAGTTTGTTTTCAGCTGGTCCTAGACAAACAGCTAAGTTACATGGTTATGTTTATCACGATGAATATTTTTTTAAACAATAGTATAAAACAAACTGCCTCGTTGGCCGAGTGGTCGCAAGTGCGACTGCCGGGCAAGGGGTCTCGGGTTCGATTCCCGGGTCGGGTAAAGTATTACTGGGTTTTTAAAATCTCAGTAGTAGCACGGAGTCTGGAAAAATGTGCCCGGTATATGGCAATAGGCTCACCCCCTATTACATGGGAATTATATCATAAATAGTGAAAAGTGGGTGTTACATTGTACAGTGGCATCAAGTGCCATAATGTGCACCTCTGCCTACCCCTTTGGGGATAAAAAGGCGTGATGTTATGTTAATGAACATTATTTTTAGGTAAGATCCCTTAGTTCCTTTTACAATTTAGTAGTTTCTTTGTAGGTACAATAGGATGTTTCGTTAGTCGATATTAGTAGAAAAACTAATACACACCTCTTCCCCTTAAATAAGTGTACCTAATACCGGTAACTACATATAAATTATATGTTCTGCTTGTAGACTTCAGTTAGGTATAAACACAATCGACTTCCTGACGGTTTTTAATTAAGTAAGTAATTCAATACATCCACGTATAAAAATTGAATGTATTTCCTATTATCGATAAGACATATTAAGCAAAGTTGAAATTGGAATAAACTTCACCGAAGGGGTAGAGGTGCATATTACGGCACTTAATGCTACTGTACAATGTAACACCCACTTTTCACTATTTTTATGTTATGAGTCCCATGTAATAGGGGATGAGCCTATTGACATATACCGGGCACATTTCCAGGCTCCGTGCTACTACTGAGATTTTTAAAAACCCAGTAATACTTTGCCCGACCCGGGAATCGAACCGAAATCCCTTGCCGGGCAGTCGCGCTTGCGACCACTCAGCCAATGAGGCAGTTTGTTTTATACTATGTAGTGATTATTAAACACATATTTTACTATTGTAAGTAACGTGTTAGTGCATATGTTTAGGCTATATTTAAAAATCACACGTACATTTTAGCGACCTATTGCGTAATAACTTCAGGTCTTATGCCAAGGCTTTGAAGTTCAAATTGCAGGTTGAGAACATATTCTCATGATGTTTATTGTTAGTTTTAAAGTGCAGGATACAGTAATTAGGTACAACTTAGATAAAGCATCTAAAGTAATAATAGTGTAACGTATGTTTAATGAACACCAAATTCAATGGAAAATTAAGATAATGTACACGCAAAGCTTCACTGATTGAGTAGGCAATGATTAATTAATATCTGAGAAGCTCATTGTTATTGTTGGAGGTGATGTCTAGGGGCAGTGACCTACTAATTTTAAATTGGGATCTTTATTTTACAATAATTTTAATGATTAAGTAAGTTGAGGAGTCGGTTTATTTATTTGTTTCAATGCGTTAATCTCCGATTTTGATTTTTTTTGTGTTGGATGTAGTGACAGACAGACAATTACACCGCTAAACTGCACAAGAATAGCAAGATTTATAACTGTAAATGAGTAACGAGATGTATAAATCTCTCAAAAATATCTTATAATTATTAAAATTAATTTGTCAGCAATTATATAATTATGGATTAAGGTCATTATTACGCAATGGTAGTGAATGTAAACACATAACATATATTAATATATTTTATTTATTTTTTAGTAACCAACTCGTCGCTCATTTACTTGCACACTGTTACATTAAGTGCGAATATAAATATTTTATTTGTTTTGGTTAAACTTAACATATTATTTTTATGTTTTTTGAAAATGTCTCACGAAAGACATACTAAATTAATTATTATGTTTTTCGACTTACTCACGTAATTATGCATGGCTTGAAACTAGTCGAGTTCCTCGTTAAATAATTACGTGAGGAAGCCAAAAAACATAGATAATATTATTCGTAAACAACAAATAATACAAATTACAGTAAACAAATTTCCCTTTCTTTATAGACAAAGATTCACTTATATCCGGTCTTTGTTTTTTCTGTGTTTACGTAATTAAGGTGAGTTGAACAACCTATCATTACGACGTGATGTGACGAGTAATCAACTTAACTGTGTGACTTTTATAATTACAATGATTATTTTTGGGTTGATATGCCATGGAAGCCATAAATGGTCATATGTATCTTTTCTGTTAATGTCACAGTTTGTGAAAAGGTTTAAACAAGTTTCAGTTACGTAAGTAACGTCCGAATACTGGTAGGCTACTCAACTTTAGGTTGTACTTAAATATCCTCCCATCCCTGCCATTTTACAAAGAGTTTGTACTGACACAACTATACTTAAGCGCGGCTTAAATTTGAGTAGCGTTTGAGTATTTCAGCGAGAATGCTTCAGATCCTTTTATATTTTTTTCATTGTATATAATATATTTTATTTTTTTTATTTATGGCATAACCCGGTAAACGAGCAGACGGATCACCTGATGGTAAGCAATCGGCATCGCCCATGGACACCTAGAACACCAGAGGTGTTACAAGTGCGTTATCGGCCTTTTGGGGATTAGGAATTTGAGGATCGTTGGGGATTCAGGGATTGATTGGAGAGATTGGGGAAGGGGAGGGTAATTGGGCCTCCGATAACCTCTCTCACACGACAAAACACAACGCAAGCGTTGCTTCACGTCGGTTTTCTGTGAGGCCGTGGTATCACTCTGGTCGAGCCGGCCCATTCGTGCCGAAGCATGGCTCTTCCACACTTAATATCTATACCTAGAGGTATATCTGATAAGTAGTTAACTATATTAGATTGATTAAATACACACAAAATAACACATACATAGATACATAACCTCACGCCTGTCTCCCATGGCGATAGGTAGAGACTATAGAACGCCAAACGCCGCGATACTCACATACCTCTTTTGCTTCAATTAAAAGATAGACTCAATAGATTAATTAATTAAATAATAGCTGCTATTAATAGTCAAGCAATTAACTCTTATTAATTAAAAATAAATATGCTCTAAACTAGATAGAAGATTACTTAATTGTTCATTATGATATGATAAGAATGCTATACCTTAAGGTAATATTATAAAATTAAAATATTCCTAAAGACAACAAAAAGTAGGTTGAAGAAGTCGCGAAACACACACTCACAATTTACATATTCATAGCCATAAGAAATGTGTTACAATGAGTTTCAAAATGGCTTCTATTTTAGAAGTATGAAATTTGTTCAACTTTCTCATAATCGGAAGATGAACTAAGACTTTTTATACCCAAGTATTATTGGACATCTGTTTGCACATGTGGTAAAATATTTTTAACAGATCGGAACTGAAGTAACACTTCTACTCCAATGTGATTGTGCCATGATATCATTCTACATTTGCATTAAAAATATATAACAAAAATAACATAGAAGAAACCAAATTAATAATACAATTGTGCCAATTGAGTCATAAATTCCTTGTATTCGCTACGAAACGGATTCGTACAGAAATGTCATTGATGACCAACCGAATGCCGACGCAGAAACCTGCGCAAAGGCCACCTATAATCTCGATCACGTTCGGACATTGACATGTAACGTAATACCACATTGAAAGTGAAGCCGTTTTGCTTTCTGACTACCACCATTCGGTGTCGGCCAAATTATAAACATTACTTCATTGGCTGGCACTAAGCTATCGATGGAAAGTAGTCATCATATATATCAACTACATAGTATATTCAAGGTTGAATGAAAAAATACATAATGTAGACAACAATGAGGTAAAATACCTAGAAAATCAACACTGCGTTATGTAATTGTATTGTGATCTTTTTGTTTGGTTACTGGTTACTGACCAGCAGTTGCTAGATAGGTGACATAAGCTAATATTTTTTGACCTACACATTACATAGTAGGTAATATGAGAGTAATTGTACACAACGAAATTTGATTGATAGTTTTCAAATTGATTTGGACCGTTAGATTATAATTTTAACCTCTATCATCTAGTAATTGTTATATCTGTTCTTAGCATGATCATAAGCCTATAAACCTTTCGTAACTTGCACTATAATGTTGTAACAAGCCCATAAGTTACTGTCGATAACAGTAAAACAATAGCACATATTTATTGTTAAAGAAGGTTCTATAGCGTAGTGAAACTATTTTAAAAGAAGGTCAACGACCATGATGCACCCACAATAGATGATCACTAACCTGCTTACTGATAACAAAATACTGGATCACGATCACGTCTACCAGAATATTTTTAAATGACAAACGTACGTTTGCACACAAACATGTAGGTATTACTTAACATTAGGTTAAGTAACAACATGACTCAGATCTTCAGA